CCAGCACTCCCATCCCTCTGGCCTGGAGCAGGGGGCCCCAGCAGTCCCTGGCTCATCCATAACCAGCTCCCTGCCCGCGCCCGACCTCTCGCTATAGCAAAGTTCACATCAATTTTCCTTCCCCTCATTTGTCTGTAAACCATGAAGAAAAATCACCGCCGTCCGCCCGCATCAGGCCGCCGCCGTGATGTATGGCTGTAATAAAAACCCCATTTTGGGAGGCCGCCTCGCCGCGCCGCCAGCCGGGCGCCGTGCGTGGCCGTGCCACCAGCCGGGCACCGGGCGTGACGAAGAGCCGGGAGCTGCCAGTGCCATCCCAGCCCGGGGCCCCCACGCTCCGTCTCGACCTCACCGTGGTGATCACAACCCTTCCAGGTCCAGGGAGAGGGTGTTGGGGAAGGGGTGCCACCCCCCAGACTACCCCACACGGAGGTGTGTCGTGGAGTGCGTGGGCAGGGGCGCCTTCCACTAGATCAGGTTGCTCCAAGCCCCATCCAACCTGGCCTCGGACGCTTCCAGGGATGGGGCAGCCACAGCTTCTCTGGACAGCCTGTTCCAATTCCTCACTGCCCTCGAAGGGCAGAATTCCTTTCTAATCTCTTATCTAACCCAGCCCTCTCTCAGTCCGAAGCCATTCCCCCCTCATTTTGTCCCTCCAGGCCCTTGCCCGAAGTCCCCCTCCAGCTCTCTTGGAGCCCCTTTAGGCTCTCAGGTCTCCCTGGAGCCTCCTCTTCTCCAGGCTGAACACCTCCAGCTCTCCCAGCCTGCCTCCTTAGCAGAGGTGCTCGAGCCCTTGGAGCATCTCCGTGGCCTCCTCTGGACCCGCTCCAGCAGCTCCACGTCCTTCTTATGCCGGGTACCCGCCGGGGTTCAGTCCCGGCCGATGCCTTATCCAGGGATGGGAACAGGGCCGTGCTGCCGGAGCCCTGCCCCGCTCCCGGTCCGCTCCGGCGGAGCAACAGCCTCCTCTGCCGGCCGCCGCCCGCGATCGGCGCCGGGGCTGGGACGGGACCGGCCCCCGGAGCGAAGACACGGCGGGAGTGGACGGGGTGGGTCGCCAGCGGCACCGGCACCGGCGGGGACGGGCTGCCGGAGAGAGAAGGGGCTATAAGTGGGGAGGGGGCTGCTCAGGCCAGGGGGTCCGTTCCTCACACCCTTCTGGTGGCAGAAGGGCAAGCCAGGCTCACATCGCCATGTGCTCGTTGATGCGGCTCCACGCCAGTGACACGCATCAGTCACAGAGCAGCCAGGAGGAGGAAGAGCACGAGGCCAAAATCCCACAACTACCGGAGTTGCCAGCACCAGCTGAAGGGCCAGGGCTGCTCGGGAGAAGCTGGTGACCCCTCATATCGTCACCACGGCACTGCAGCACACGTCACACTGGGGCAAAGGTGTCACCCAAAGGTGACAGCATGTGACCAGGCTGCTCTCAAAGGCCCTGGTTCCCGCTCATGGTTCCCTCTGCTTCAGAGCCAGAGTCCTGGCAGCAATAAGTGCATTTGGCTGCTCGGAGTGGGGATGACGCACACAGGAATTTCCAAGTGGGGAAATACAGTCGTTGAGCTGTAAAACCCTGCATGAGGTCACAGAGGTCACGTTGGCCTCAGCCCAGATGCCTGTGTCCAGCCATGCTGGCCTTGTCACAACCCCCCCAGGCAGGGAGTGTCCCTGGTGCCCCTCAGCATAGCAGGACCCCGACCAAGGCTGTTCTCCAACTCCAGCCCCAGCACAGGACAAGTCTCTCCACCAGTCCTCAAAAACCCTGGTCCTTCCCCTTTCTACCCCCTGCAGCCCCAGCTGCCCACTGTGCCTTTCTGCAGCCCCACCAGTCCCCTGCTGTGCCCCCTAAGCCAGGCTGCCTCTTCCCAACCTGCCAGCAGCACCTGCGGGTGCCCTTTGGCAAGGCACAGAAAGCTGTGCCAGCGTGGTCATGGTTCAGCAGTGAGAGGAGCATGGAGCAGCCCCCTGGCAGAGCTGCAGCCCCTGGACCGTGCCCCTGCCTGCATGGGATGGGGTGCAGGAAGCAAAGGTCCTGCTTGGCAGGGTCTCAGGGCACAGCAGTGGCAGCACCACGGGGTCTCTGAGAGCAGGGAGTGCACCTCACCCTCCACACCGTCACCCTTCACACTCTCAGCTGTGCTGGGCTCCCTGTGACCTCCCTGCACCATCGACCTCGGGCATCCCAGGGTCGCCTCCCACCAGTCCTGGGGCAAAATGAGGTGAGAGACAGCGCCGGTGCTGACCCCTCCATGGCACCCATCTGCGGGGACACATCTGCAAGCAGCGACGTGCCGGCACCCAACCACCAGCCTGTCCCCACGGAGGAATGGTGCTCGGTGCAGGCCAGTGGGTGTGCCCAGCCCGGCACATTGTGGAGGCTTCCCACGCTCTGCTCCCCCTGAGGCCATGCTCGCCCGCAGGGACCCAGCCAGCTGTCCCCTGCGGCTCCACAGGCAGACACGGCAGAATGCGGGCACCAGGCCGGGACTGGGGCAGGCAGCGCCAGGTCCCTGGGATGGGCACAGCCAGGGACAGACCCCCAGCTACTCTGTGCCAGAACACCCCCCTGGCACACTGCCAGGACAGCAGCCCTCAGAGAACATCCTCCTCCATGGGTTCCCACCCCACAAACTCATCTAATCGCTCATCACACCTGGGCAGTTCTGGGTTCCCTGTGGCTATGGGGTGACCCCAGCCCATGGCCACATCTCCCTCTTCCCATGAGGGTCCTGAGGGTGCCGTCCTGCCCCCGGCTGCAGCCTGGTTGCCAGGGCTGGACAGGGCCAGGTAAATCATTTCTCAGGCAGGAACGTTGCGTGGCCGTCACCGCCTCGGGCACAGCTGTGGCACGCAGCAGCACAGAGTTTCGGCACACGCAGGTTGTGCGTGGCCCCTCCCCGGCCCCACGCAGATATAAACCCCACCAACCCGAGCTGCCCATCCATACCTGTGGCACTGCCATGAAGACCGTCGTCGTTTTGCTCGTGGGCATCCTGGCCCTGTGTGCCCAGCTGCAGGCAGCTCCTGCCGGGGGCAAAGGTGAGTGCTGGGGGTCTCGGGGTGGCTCCAGGAGCACTGCGGGGCCAGGGTGCTGGTGAAATGAGCAGGTAGGGGCAATCCCACCAGCGTGGAGTCAGGCACTTACCCAGCTCCAGAGCACCCACACACCATCAAGGCTGCCTCGGAGCAGGACTGCCAAGGTCTGCGCTGTGTGGGCAGGAGGGGCTCGGTGGTGGCAGGATGTGCCAGTGTGGTGGGAGCCCTCAGCTGTAGGTAGGTGCACAGCTGGACCCAAGGGGACAGATTTCCCACACCCCAGCCCATGTCCGTGGTGTGGGGACCCTGCACTCTTAGCTGAGGGGCCCAGCATCTCCAGAGGATGGGGTGTACCTCTCTATCCCTGTACTTGCTGCCCCTGCTCTGTGCCAGCAGCGGGACGCTGGGTCCCTGCTCTGGTGCCCCTTTTAATCATTGACTGCATTCCCTCAGCAGTCAGGAGACGTGACTCTGGCACCTTCCCTGCTGCCATGGAGGAGTCACAGTCACCTGCAAGGCTTGGGCGCAGCCAGCATGACCAGGCTTAGCGGTGGTGGGCACAGCTCCCCAGGGATGTGGCAGGGAAGAGCCTCTGGGATCATGCTCAGGTCTGCTGAGCCCATGTTCTCGGCCAGGATCCCCCCCTAGCCATGGGGACAGTTGCCTGCAGCCATGCTGGCAGACCCTTGCATTCCCAAAGCTGTCCTCAGCCTGTTCTGAGGAAGCACCTGGCAGAGCCAGGGCGGGGACAGCAATATCCTGAATGCCACGCACTGGGGACAGGAGCCAAAGCACTCCTGTCTCCCGGAAGGTGATGCTGACTGCGTGGGCTGGAGCCACTGGCCCTGTCACCAGCATGCTCTCTCCAGCTGCTCTGGCTGGCTGGGGGCAGCTCCAGCTGGATCGTCCCCTCAGCTGCCAGCCAGGTACCCTGGGACTGAGGTGCAACCATGGGCAAACCCACTCGCACATTGCTCCCCACAGCTCTCATCTTCCTCTGTGGTTTCCCCCTCATCTCCTGCCATGGGCCCATTTCTGGGCTCCCTTCTGCTCCTGTCCAGCTGGTCTGGTGCAGCCCCGCTGTTGGCATCTACCCTCACACCCTCCCAGTGCCAGCTGCTCACTGCCAGCACCAAGGTCACCCCACGCTGAGGTCACCCCGCACTGGGGCAAAGCTGTCACAGGGTCAGACCGGGACAATGACCCTCAAGGACAACACTGGCATGGGAACCACAGCCCAGCCATGGCGGGACACCGAGGCAGCCCCTCCCTGACAGTGGGGACAGTGGCCCTGGGTGTGCAGTGTGGGAATGGCAGCAGGGCTGCTGCTCCAGGGAAGCTGCTGCTGGGTCCCAGTGGGCTCTGTTCCTGCACATCATCATGCAGGGACAGAGCTTCTGTTCTGGTGGGCATCGTTCCCACCTCCCAGCCATTACTACCCCTATCCCACCCCACTACCACAGGACCACATCTCAGCCCTGGTGCTGGGGCCACTGGGCTGCAGCACAGTTGCCTTCATTCGTGTCACCAGAGGGGCCCAGAGTGGGAGCATCCCGGCCAGCCGAGCATGGCCAGGACCTGGCAGCGGCCTGGCAGGTCCCCATGCTGGAGGGCACAGGGACAGAGACTGCCCTGTTGATCTCCTCGCTGCCCCATGGAGCTCCCACTGCAGTGACACGCGGCGCAGCGGTGGGGCAGGCAGCTGAGCCGTCCGTGCCGGCTCCTGTTCCTGCATAAACACCCAGACAGGGAGGGGACCACAGGCAAAGGCAAACAGTTACTGATTTACTGCCACGCCACCGTGCCACATTGTTGACTGTGGGGTTAAATTACCTGGAGACGGACCCCGGCAGAGCAGACACCAGCTCGTGACTCAGGCAGGGATCATGTCCCAGCCCCATGCACCCCTGGCCCATGCAGGTTTGCAGGATGCTCCTACCCGGAGCTGGGGTAGCCCTGGCTTGACATTGGCAGGCACCATGAAGTGTCCTGGCCCACCAGACATGCTCTGGGCAGGGTATCCTGGACATGCCGAGGGAGTCTGGGGTGGTACAGCCCCAGCACCATCAAGCTCTGGAGCACTGGGTGCACGTGCTAATGGCTCATTCTCTACCAGCCACTTATCTGGTGCTGCCAGATGATCTGTCCACATCCCCCGGGCTGTGGGAGACTGCAAGGATGATGGGGGCCATGGGATGAGATGGCAGCTCGGCAGAGCTCCTGTGGCTGCTCTGGGGAAGTGCAGGGGAGCCCTGAGTTGGGCACCTGCCCAAGGCACAGGCAGCCTGAAGGGCCCTTCAGTTGAGGACCCAGAGCTGGAGGAGAGCAGTGCCTGGAACAGGAGCAGGAACTGGGTGAGCGGCAGCAGAGCCGAGCTGCAGCCCTGTCTGCACCACCAGTTCCTCCCGGCCTCTGGGCATCGGTGACCCAGGCCAGGGGCTCCATTCAAGCTCGTGACTGTGGCCAGGGCGGCACGGGGTGAGTCCAAGTGGTGACAGGTCGTGCCCTGTCCCTGGCGCACCTGGGCCTGCTGCGCTGCCCCCGAGCAGCACCTCTGCATCCCCATGGCTGATCCCTGTGCGGGGCCGTGGCAGCCCAGCACTTCAGTGGGATCAGTCTGGAGCTGCCTGGGGTCCAGCGTGCAGGGGCTGCAGCCGGTGGTGGTTGGCTGGTTGGCTGCCATTCCTGCCGGGCGAGTTCTCAGCATGGCCGCCCGGTCTCCTCGAGGCTCCCCCTCCCTGGTCGGCAGCCAGGAGCGGCAGATACCTGATACTCGGGTTGTGCAAGCGCGAAGGGGGAGCCTGGCCCTGCCCGGCCCTTGGGAACCACCCGGAAGGCCGAGCCCGCCAGCCCCACCTGGAGAGGAGCTTAAAGGCCGGCCGGGCGGCCGCAGCGCAGCCGGTTCCTGCACCATGCCCACGGCCCGCAGCGTCCTCATCTTGGCGGGGCTCCTGGCTCTCTGGGCAGAGCTGCCGGCAGCATCCGCCCAGAATGTCACCAGTGAGTATGAGCGCACGGCCCGGCACGGCCCGGCACAGCACGCCCGGCGAGCAGGCAGCATCCCTCTCTCCCAGCCCCAGGGCAGCTGCGGTGGGGGCCGGGTCGAGCAGCAGCCCATGCCCGGTGCAGTTGGGCTCAGCAGCATCCCTGGACCCAGCCCTGGGGCCGGTGGCAGCATCTCCTGCCACGGCAGGCAGCCCTCGCCCTGCCCAGGGCCGGCTGCCCCAGCGCGCCCACGGCCCCACCTTTGCCTTGCAGCAAAAGCCGGCGTGTGCCCGGACCTGGCGACGGAGGCGGTGAACTGCACGGTGGGGTGCCAGTCCGATGGCGATTGTGAGAGCACCCTCAAGTGCTGCCCGGCGGCCTGCGGCAAGGCCTGCCAGAAGCCCGATGGTAATGCTCCCTCCTGCTCCTGGCCGTGCTGCTCGGAGCACGACAGCCCATCCCAACCCATCCCAGCCCATCCCAGCTGGCAGCATCGGTGCTCCAGGGTGCGGCGGTGGCCACGGGCCTGGGAGCCGTGTCTGGCTGCAGCGTGGGGACCAGGGTCTGTGTGGGAGCCCGGCAGGCTCAGGGTGTGCTCCTGCTGGGCCATGCTCACTCCTTCCTCCTCTCAGCGATGCAGGGGCTGAGCAGGTGATCCTGAATGACACAGGCTGGGGTGGAGGGTGGGGGTCTGCGCCGCTTCTCGTCGCAGCACTCGTTGACTGCTTGGCCTTGTGGGCAGCTGCCAGCCCAGGATGTGGGCACTGTCCTGGCTCCAACTTTGCCCTCCCAATGGCATCATTCCCATCCTTGCACTGGCCACAGCCCTGCAGATGTCCAGCTGAGCACACTCACCACGCCAGTCCTGCTGGCAAGCAGCATTTAGAGATGGGCTCAGGAGTTGGGATCCACAGCTGCAGACATGTGGATGCGACCTGGAGGCTCCAGTACCTGGTGGAGGCAGCAGGGTGCAGAGCTGGAGCCCGGTGCTGATGGCAGGCAATGGGACAGTGGAGCAGGGGCCCCACACTGCCAGGCACAGGTTGTCTGGGGGCACATGATCCCGGCCAAGGCCTAGGCTGCAGGGTGGGCCCTGCCCCCCCCATTCCAGGACCAGCAGTTCTCAGCCATGTCCATTTGCCTTTCAGAGAAGCCTGGCATCTGCCCACCCGTCAGCCCGGGCATCCCCATGCTGGGTGTCTGCACCAACCAGTGCAAGACCGACGCCAACTGCTCCGGGAACCAGAAGTGTTGCAGGAATGGCTGCGGCAAGGTCTCCTGCGTGACGCCCCTCCACTGAGGTCAGCTGGGTGCATGCCAGCCCCAGGGATCCCGCTGCACCCGTGCACCTCTCCTGCTCACGGCCTCTTCTCCTTTGCAGGTGCAGACACCTCCTGCCAGCCCAGCCACAGGGAAGCTGCTGCCCAACACCCATCCCACTCACCCTGGCCGTGGCCCCGCATCATCCCCCTGGCTTGGAGCCTTCAGCCTCAGCTTCCTCCCCGGGGTCCCCTGCTCGGGGCACGCCACAGCCCCCTGCACTCTCTCCAATAAAGCAGCTTCTCCCTGTCACACCATGGCTGCCTCTCCATCCTGCGCCGTGGCCAACTTTCCCTGCCGCTCTGTGGCCACCTCTCCATCCTTGGTTGCCTCTTCGTCCCTTGCTGGAGATGCCTGGAAGGGCTCCACACAAACACCAGCATCAACTGACTCTGCAATGGCCGGGAGACAAACAGGCTGCAGTGTGTGCCCTCACATGAGCATCACCCAAACCCCTCCTTGCCCCACGCAGTTGCCCACGGCAGAAGCCTGAAGGAGCTTTGGGCAGTGCAACCCACTCACCCCTGCCACGTGCCTGTCCCCTCTTCATGTGCTGAGAGCTGGGTTCCTGCTCCTATCCTGCTCTTCCTGGCACCTCCTGCTCCTCACAGGGCTCCAGGGGCCCTGTCCCTTCTGCTCCTGCCCTGCTCCCACTCCCAGCCCCTGGGACCAGAGCAAGTGTCCCTCCTGCCTGGGAAGGGCCGGCACCCCCAGAGCACCCAGCCTTGACAGAGGACAGAGCAGTTCAATTCCCCCAGGGTTGAACAAGCCCCACACCCTGCCCAGCACTGCCCAACGCCCAGTGCCCATTCCCCCTCTCACCATGATGCAGGTGCAGGCTGGTGCACCCCAGCACAGCACCACAGCTCCACAGCAACTCTCCCTGCTCCGTGTGTGCCAGGGGGGACCTGGTGGGCACTGAAGACTGGGGACAGGACACTGCCCCTGTGTCCCATCCCTGCTCACAATGGTGGGGCTCTGGAAGTGCTGCTCGGCCCCTCGCCCAGCTGCTCACGGGTCATCAGTGACCTGGAAAGGGCTCTGTGGAGGATGTGTCAACCACAGGCCATGGGCCCAGCGCTGCCCCAGGAGTCTCCCCCGAGCCGAATTGTTCATGCCTGCCACTCCCACGGTCCTGAAACCCCTGCTGCCATGAGAAGGAGCAGCTTGGCTCGGCCAGCCCCCGCCCCAGCAGAGTTTAAATCCCAGCCCATCGCCCAGAAGCACAGCTTTGATCGCAGCGCGATGCTGGGCCAGCACAGCCTCCTCCTGGTGCTCCTGGCGCTGCTCGCCCTGGCCCAGCAGCACAGCTGTGGGGACCAGGGCACTGCTCCCACCTTCACTGCAGCCCCACAGGGGACACATCGGACCCCCACTGCCCCACCTGCCCCCCCCAAAGTGGGTGAGTGCCCGGCGGGGGTAAGTGGAGCCTCTCGGCCCCCTGGGCTGTACTGCCTGTCCGACCACAGCTGTCCCGGTGCTGAGAAGTGCTGCCAGAACGGGCAGGTCTGGACCTGCCTCCTGCCCACCACAGGTACCCTTGCTCCCTCTGAGGGATGCCAGCACAGAGGCTGGGCAACAGGTGGGATGTGGGTGGGGGCTGGTGCCTGTGGCGGTGCCCCGGTCCCTGGCACGTGGCCACACGGAGCATCTCCCTCTGCAGAGAGCCCAGGCTACTGCCCCCACGCCGGCAGCGCCATCGGGCCGAGCTGCGGGGCGAGCTGCCACAACGACAGCGGGTGCCACGCCGGGGAGAAGTGCTGCACCCGCGGCTGCTGCACCCGCTGCGTGCACGCCGAGCCAGGTGAGGTGGCCTGGGGGTCCCCATGCCAGGCTGAGGATACCCCGGGACAGCCCCAGGGGTCTGCAGCCCCCATCACGCTGTACGGCAGCTCTGGGCACTGTAGTGGCCGTACGCTGAACCTCAACCCTCCCTCCAGCCAAAGCCGGGTTCTGCCCACGGAAGCGCGCCCAGAGGAGCGGTGCCGCCTGCCCCAACCGCTGCGCCGACGACCGGGACTGCCCTGGGGACCACAAGTGCTGCTTCTCTGGCTGTGGGCTGGCTTGTGCCCCTCCAGACACAGGTACAGCCCCGCCAGCCCTCCCTGATCCCCGTGTCCAGCCCTCCACTGCACTGGGGGCAGCACGGCTCTCCATCCCCTGCGGAGCCTGGCGTGTGCCAGCCCGTGCTGCCGGACGAGCCGCAGCGGCTGTGCCCAGCCAAGTGTGCAGCCAGTGGCAGCCCTCCAGGCCCCAGGGAGCGTGTGCCACACCAGCTGTGGCTCCTGGTGCCACACACCCACCCTGGCCCCAGCCCAGGCCCTGGTGAGCCCCTGGGCAAGAGCTGGCCCTCAGGATCCCCGCACCCAGCCCCTCTGTGATGGGCGGGTGATGGTCCCAAACATGCACAGGGCTGAACACCCTCCTGCACCCTCCTCAGACTGCCTGCTGGTGGAACCACAGCCAGGGTTGTCCCTCACCACTCCAGCTATCAGCTGGCATCCCATATTGGGCTGTGACTGGTCTCACTGGGTCAGACTGGTGTGGGTGTGAGGCTGGCAACTGAGAGCAGCACAGGGCTCTGCGAAGGAGGATGGAGGGACAGACAAGGACAGGATGGAGACCAAGGCTGTGCCAGGAGCGGGGCTGAGGGACACAGAATCCCAGCACATCCACGATCCCTGCCGTCACCAGGGAGCCACCAGGCCTCGGCAAAGCCCGGCTCATGCCCCATGGTGCTGCGGGGCTCCCTGGGTCCCTGCCTGGAGCTGTGTGACACCGACAGTGACTGCCTTGGGGACGACAAGTGCTGCACCACTGGCTGTGGACACGTCTGCAAACCACCCACCAAGGGTAAGCCTTTGGCCAAGACCCCTGTGCCCTCCCCACACCCTGTTACTGTGACCTTCCTGGGGGCAATGGGAGGGTGGGGACTGAGCTGCCGTCTGATGGGCGAGGAGCTCATGCCTGCAGGCAGAGCAGCTCCCCCACGCTGGAGGAACCCCTCACCCTTCCCTCTCTCCACATGTGCCAGTGTGGCCAGGGCTCTGTCCCCCCGCAGCAGATGGCAACCGGGCAGGCAAGTGCCTCCTCCTGTGCCTGCAGGACAAGGATTGTCCCACCGGTCAGAAGTGCTGCCAGCAGGGCTGCAGCCGGGTCTGCGTCCCCCCACTGTGGGGTATGTTCACCCCCAACCTGCTGCCTCTCAGGTCCAGCCCGCAGGGGACCAAGGGGGTCCCAGGGTGGGAGCACCCCAGGACCCTCCATCCCTCAGAGAGGGAGCACCCATCCTCACTGATCCCCTCAACTGTCTCCTCCAGGCACAGCCTAGCCCTAGCCAGGAAGAACTGCACCAGGAGCTGCCTTTTTGGGGTCACCCCACACCCCTCTGCCATTGCACCAATGGGGAGAGCAGAGGTGCTGCTGCCCCCTGTGCTCTACCCTCTGCACCGCCGGCAGGATGGCATCAGCACTGAGTGATGGCTCTGTTTGGGGTAACTGGCAGCCCCAGCTGCTCCCAGCTGTGCCATCAAGGGCTGCACAAACACCCACACCACCCCATGGCCAAGGCTCCTGGCAGCCTGGCACGAGGCAGTCCCCTTTGGCCTCAGCTGCTCCACAGCATCGAGAATAAACCACCCCATGGCCACCTCTGCTCTGGGTCACATCCTTGTTCCCTGCTCTGGTTCCCAGAGGCACCAGCAGCCTGGGCTGTGTGCAGGCAGGGAGGTGCAGGCAGGGGCCAGGCAGCTGTCCCTGCAGGCAGGCACTGCCCTGGGGCAGGGAGAGGGCTCCAGTTCCATGTGGGTAACCTCCAGCCATCATCACCCCATGGTGACCATCCTGCAGGGCCCGGGGGCTGCTTGATGTCCCCTCAGCAGTCATGGACTGGAAAACCAGTTCCCTCGGATTCCTTGCTCCAAGGAAGGGCTCATTTGCATCCCGAAGTGTGAAAACCTGGTGGGAACAGCAGTCATGGGTCAGGACAGGTGGAGCACCCGGACAGGGAAGGGGGCAGGGAGCAGCACCGACCTCCAAGGGGACACATCAGGACCTTCTTACTCATGATGCTGGATCCCAAGCAGTCCCCTGCACGGAGGCTACATCTGGCTGAGGGGCAGCACCATGGCAGCAGAGCTGGCAGAGCTCCTCAGGCTGCTCCTACTGCCATGCCAGGGCCAACCCATGGGGTCTATCCACAGCCCCCACTCCAGGGAGGTGAGGGGCAAGCAGGGCTGGAGGAAACCCAGGGAGGGGGTGGCAGCCAGCTGTGGCAGGGACGGGGCCGTGCACCACGGGGGACAGCAGTGCCTGACCCCAGCTGCCCTCCCCAGCCCCGTGGGTCGTCCTGACCCCAGAGCGGGGCTCGGCCAGAGATAAGCAGGATGGCTGGCAGGGCACCAGTGGGTTCTGGGAATGGCCCCTCCTCCTGCTCCTCCTGCCCCTCCTGCCCGTGGCACAGCCAGCAGCCCAGCTTCGGCTGCCCTGGCACCTCGGGTACCCCTGCCACTGACTGTAAACCAAGCCCCAGCTCAGCTCCAGACGCTCACAACATCCTGCAAGCACCATGGACCTGGGAGTTTTCCTCCTCCTGGGGCTCCTCATCCTCAGGGCAGAGCCAAGCG